TCTGTCAGTGATCGAGGTGGGGGAATTGGCTTGGTCAGTACATAGAAATACTGAAGCGAAGAACTCATTGAAGAGCTCTGCTTTCCCCCCCCGCATCAACCACCAACTGTCCTGATTTGTCCTGTGGGGGCCCTGTGTTGCTCTGAGCTTTCCGTTTGCCCGCTATATACCTGAAGAAGGACTTTTTATTGTCCTTGATTGTTGAAGCCAGCCTGAGCGCAAGCCCCACCTTGACCTGTCTAACTGATTCCCTGCAATAGCATGCCGGGGGAGAGATTCCTCCCTGGTGGCTGCTCCCTGCTTCCATTGCCTATACATCTTTCTTTGCCCCCAGACTCTCCTGGAGTTCCTGGTTCAGCCAAGGGGGCTCTTTTGCCCCCTTATTTCCCTTCCTATGTAATGGGATCAGCTTGTTAAGTATTGGATACAAGGATTAGAAGGGGTCAGGATGGGCAGCAGGGGTTAAATGGATTTCTAAAGAGCTTGGGCGGTGCACACAGCTTCTCATGGCCCTGATAATAGATGGGCTGTCTAGCACAACAAGGCCAATTGATGGACAGAGCCTGAGAATTGAGGGGGGGCATGCCATAACATGACATGACATAACAGCCTTCAAGGCAGACTGGTTATCTAACAGTCTAGGAAACTGGATGCAGTCTAGAAAACAGCCTAGAAGGACAAAGTCTAGAAAACAGCCTGGGAACCAAAGGGAAGCATGTACCATACTGTCCCATAACAGGAGATCAGTAACACCAGCTACAGGGCCCCAGAGACCAAATTTAAGAGCAGGCCCGGAAGGCTGCATGGACATGTGACCAGAGAGCAACAACCAACCAGAGTGCCATGAATGAAGAGTCGTCAAGGGGGAAGGAGAAGACAAAAGCAGAGACTTGAGAAAAACAAAGAACAAGGAGTAACGGGAGGGACTCTTTCTCATCTCTCCCCGTCCCCCCCGGAAGGGTCCCTGAGGCCACCATGGACTAAGGGCATACTAGCAGTCTGTCTCATGCACCCCACTGGAGGGGGTCTGTGGGACTTGGGTATCAGCAGTCTGGAGGTGGGATGCCAAGATACAAGCTCCACTGAGGTGCTATCCTGACCAGATGTACTTTGACTCTGACAGCCCTAGGATTGGTAGATATCGAACTTTTGCTTGATTATTTGTATTGCTGCTTTTCTGTTTTTACTCCTGTATCCATAAATTTGTCTGTTATCAACTGGCAGGTGTTGTGCTCTTATACCCTCCTTGGCATTTCTTCAGCTTCACTTTTCTCTTTCTCTTTATCTCAGGTGTTTCTCACACTTCTCTCCTCTTTCTTAGTTGCTTAGCTGTTTCTCCAGCTTCCCCTCTTGCTTCCTCAGTCTCCAGGGTGCTTCTGCAGCCTCTTTGTTCCCCCTTGTTTTTGTTTTGTTTTGTTTTGTTTTGTTTTTTCAGGCGTTTCTCCAGCTTGTCTAGTCTCTTCCTTGGTGTCCTTGTTTCTTCTCCAGGTCTCTCTTCTCCCTCTTGTGCTTTTCCAGGGTGGCTTCTCTTCCCCTTGCTGCCTCGTGCTTCTGAGGGTTGTGGGGGAGAGCCCCCAACTTGCCCCATTACTTACAGCAGGGGAAGTGATGGGTAGTTGGTGCAGTAAGATGCTAAGATGGCAGGCTTAGGTGCATGAGTTTTGGAGCTGCCTGAGAACACGCAGTGAAATGGGGTGGGGCCAGGCAGAAGTGTGGGCTGGTGAAAAAGCAGCCAGGAACACAGCTGGGCTGAATATGAGAGCATGGCAGCAGGGAAATGCCAGAGGACACCACCAGAGGGAGCCCAGGAAGCATTGTGGACCTGGAGTGGTGGTGGCATGCTGGGGAGATTGCCAGGCTCTCCTCCCAGGTAAGGTCACAGTGTGGTGAAGAACCCAGAGCAGCATGCCACCAAGGCACCTAGGGAGGAATTGGCAACCCCACTGCAGAATGCAGTAAGAGGGATGCATGTCGTGCTGGGGACAAGAGAAGAGAGCAGAGTGCCACAGCAGCACTGAGCCAACTGGGATCCCATGAAGAGGAGTGGAAGCCAGGGGTCTCGCTAGGCAGTAAGACAAGTGGTGGCTTGGGGCTGTGAGGCTATGATGTCCTGAGGTCAAGCCAGGAGGGAGAGCCATGCGAAGCAGCCAAGGCTCATGATGATAGCAATGCCAGGGGTGGACCAGACCATCCAGCCTCAGGTCAGATGGGGTGGAGGTGGAAAGGGGCAGGGACCCAGCAGAGGGCCCCACAAGATAACCACCAGGGTGGAAGGGGGAGCTGCTGAGCCCACCTGTCTACCCTTAAACAGGGAAAGTGAGAGGCCCCAGGACCTGTGGGGCTTGGGAGATGAACCCCAGGGGCCCATCAGTGGATGCTGATTACTTTCTGTTGCCATTGGCATTTATCCTTAAGTTCCTGATTACCTCAGCATTGAGGCAAGTTTTTTTAGTTACAAAGGCTCTAGTCCAAGGTTAAAGGAGGATGTGTAAGGAACTTGTGGTCAGGAGGTCTTCAACCCTCAAGAAGTAGGATGGTACAGGTGAGAAGACGTCTATAGGCAAGGTCTCCAGAGATGGAGGGTCATCTTGGCTGTAGATGTGGTAAGGGTGGGGTAAAGGGGAGGATGGAGCCCCACTTAAATCCAGGTAGAAGATCCCATGCACCACCTGCTGTGGCTGGAAGACGGTTCACATCATGTTGACTGCTGGTAGCCTCCAGCTTGTAGCTGTGGTGGAAATGGCTGGAGTAGCCCAAGATGGCTTTGTAGCGGGCAAACCGGGTTATGCTAAGGCCTTTTAGCCATAGTCCAGGCCTTCCTAAGCAACAAAATTAAACGGAGCACCTTCTGTGGCACTAAGATGCAAGCACTGTGATTGGGCACTAGGGGAACAAGGCACAACAGGTTCCCTATAAGGAATGTGCCTGACAGTGCCAGGGCATTGGTGTACCATATAAGAAATGCTGGGTCTGCAGCTGGGGATTAGACTGTTTTGGGATGAGAAGTTACAAAAGTAATGGACAAACAAAGGAACACGCATGTGTTACCATGCTGTGACCCTGGGAGGACAGATGCAGCTGCTGGGTCCCTGCTCAGACATCAGGGAGCCAGAAGCTAAGATCCAATGCAGCCAGTGGAAGACTCGAGGCCTGGTACCCCCAAAGGTCACTGCTGTAGTGTCTAAGGAGCCACTTGTCAGGTCATACTACGGGGAGAAGAACTTTAATATAAAACTACAGACAATATTGGAGGTTATTTTACAACAACAGTTGAGTTGCTGTGTCAATCTTTGCAGGACTCTGGTAAAAAGAACCCCAGTAGTAACAATTGGCAAGCCAGGCAGGAGCCAGAGATGGATCAACGGCATCAAGTTGGAAACTACAGGCAGTAAGTAAAGTAACTTTTGGATTGGGGAATGAAGATGGTTAACTGGAACTCTGTTTTTCCCTTTGCCACCTGCACTAGGGATGCTAGGGAGAGCTAATTCATGATTGGAGTGGTTCAGGGCAAGTTGTATAATAAAGCATTATGTTGCTGTTCCCCTACTGTCCTGCCACAGAGGAGTGCTACTTCACTGACTCTTTGCTGCTTGACCAAAATCCCACTTTGGGCATCTCTCCCTGGGGTGCCTGAGCCTGGCCAACCCCCTTCTGGAGCACACCCACAAGCCTGGGGTGATCACTGCCACCACCTATGCCCTGGTCCTTGTTGGGTGCACAGACCCTCTGACTTTGCAGGTGCTTAGCCCACCATGGTATTTTGGGGCACTTTTTAGCCTGAAGCATTCGCAAGTAGCCTCCTATATGGGAGAAAAGTAAAAAGCCATGCCCATCTTAGCCAGCCAGCTGAGTGAAACAGGGCTTTAGAGACTAGTCACACCATCATAGCATTTACAGCAAGGAGTGCTATAACAGATGGCTTTATTGATCAAAGAGGAAGAGAGTGAGGAAGGAATACAAAACAATGGAAAATTGACAGAAAACCTACTTAAGCAAAACAGAATGGGCTGGTTGGCCCTTTTTTGGTATGTATCTAGTTTATTTACTTGAAATTTAGCCAGTAATTTCAGATTAAGTTACTTGCATGTTCACCTAGAGCCTAATGGCTCAACAAAAGGCTTGTTGCTAGTTTCAGGGTCCCAAAGACTACTGACCTCTCCAAAATGGAGTGATGCCCATTTAAAACTTTCATGACATCATTGCGAAGTCCCAACCAGAAACAGGCAGTATTGGATGCAGACCAAACCTTTTAAAAGTACTCAGCATCTTCTGGGTGGGGGGGGGAGGAACCAGAGCTACCTAAGACAAAGGAAGAGGGAGTTCCCCCTCCCAATGGAATTTCTCTCTCTCCTCTCAGGTGACCAGGTTCAAACCAAATAACACACAGGTAAAAAAGAGGGTGGATGTTGCGGATGTCCCATGGCAGGGTAGTGAGACAGGGATTTTTTTTCCCCCATAAATGGTGCCTGTAGCACTACAGTATTATGTAGAGGAACTGAAAACGGATAAAAAGGGCCCTTGGTTAGCTTTGGAATTTGCTGGCCCTGATTCATGGTTAAACTTGTGTAAGACACAAGTTGAAAACTGGGGATTGGAGGTTGTAATTGTGGGGGGGAAGAAGGAGGGGAGGAAAAAAGCAGAGGAGCAAGTTAAGTAGTTGAAAAATCCTCATCATTTGATGACTCTTGAAACATGGAAGATGACTGACTGCAGAGGAGAACATGATGTGAAAAGTGTTTAGAAAGAAAGGCAGTGAACAGACTAACAGAGCTCATTTGGATGCAAGGGTGGGCAGGAGGAAAGAGTTAGAAGGAAATTTTAGGAACTACTGCTTTAGAGCAGTTGCATTGAGGACTAGTTGTGACTTGCTCTGAGCGCCTGAGGTCCTGCTGTGCTTTGTTTTGGTTAAGTACAATAGCTTCTGTCATTGGTCTGATAGTTTTTTCTGCCACTGACTTCGTAAGCTCTGTGCTACAAACTGTGTGAACGTTTGTTCGTAACAGAAGTAAAACCTAAAAACTGGGCTGCGTTGTAGAGATTAAGGTGTTTGTACAAAACAGAATGAAGCAGTGTTGTTTGCTTTGTGCCTGTGTTGAAGGCAGAGAGACTGGAAGTATAAGTGCTTGCACTCTCACTGGTAACGGGGGTGAGGTATGTCCAGAAATAGTGTGGGTATCTTAGAAAGAGATGTATTAACAGCTTATTAAGGCTTTTGCTGTGACTGATATGGTTAACCAAGACAATTAAGGCATTTTCTAAGTTTCTGGCAGAGAGAGAGTTAAAATGTGGCAAAATACTGATGTGTTCTGATGGAGAGAGACAACTCTCCCCCCACAAAGGCAGTGTAAATATTCAATAGAAGCTGAAATAAGTTTATAACTGATAGTAAATAGTTTAAATTGGGGAATGATAGTACAAATGCTTAGTGTGTGACTGCTAGATTTGGTCTCTTTATGAAGACAAAGAGGAACACCTAAAAACTAACGATAGACTTCAGAGTTTTGAATTCAGTAACAACTACTGTAGCAAAGTACCCTGAAATTGTAGGAGCTATAGCAGCAGGGGGTGAAATGGTTTTCAGTATTAAATTTAGCTAATACTGTGTTTGCTTTGTTTTGTTTTCTATTTTCTTGGTATAATTTTAAATTTATTTTCAGGGAAACAGTATTGCTTTATCCAAATATCCTGAAGGCTTCTCAATGCTTTAGCAATAAGAATATGAAAAAAGCTTTCCAAGTAAAAATTGAGGGGAAAAATTATTCCCCTAAAGGAAAAACTCCATCTCTTAAAATGTCAATTTAGTTAAATTATACCAAGGGTATTGGCATCTCTCTCAATTTTTTTCCAAATGAGGTTAAAGGTCCCAATTCCAATAGCCAAAATGGTGAAATGGGCCTTTGAAAATATAAATGATCCTTGTCACTCAACATGTATATTTAAAAAAACAAACAAACTCCACCCCAAGAACTGCAATGTGTGCATTTCCACTGCACATGTCAGCATGGTAAATGTGTAAGTATGAATAATTTCACTGTGAGGAGTTTTTTCCTTGGCAGGCTTGTGTGTGTGATTCTTTTGCTACTGGATTGATTACACTATGGTTTCTGCAAAGGTGACTGAATAGACCACGGCTTCATTTCCATTAACAGAGTCTTCCTCACCTAAGCCATGTCTTTACCACTACAACAAAAATGGTCTTGTTTGTTTTGTGGGGTTCTTGGTATTTTGTTGGTTAGGTTTGTTTTTAAGTTGTCAAAAGTTTAAGTGCGTATGAATATCATAAAGTTGTTAATAAACCATTGATAATATCCCCTCTAAAAATTGAACTTGTCTGTGGATCCCTGACTGGGATAGTTCTATCCAGGCTGGACAGTTCTAATATTTGAAACAAAGGGCAGCAATTCGTATGAAAGTTTCAAGTTGTAAGTTTTACTTATTGGGCAAAATGGCATTTATTAAAGTAATATCCGTTTCTAGTAACCAACCTGATGAAATCTTTTCAAGGCTAATAAAGAACCTCTTCTGTATTTAAAAGCTATTTATAACATCAATGTAGCAGGATGAGAGAGATGCTTTAACCCATTGTTTTAAATGAAACAAGTACCTGCAGAGTTAATGCTTCCCTAAACCTGGGACCTGTTTGTTTAAAAGATGGTTAAAAACAAAGCTGAAATTGCCTCAGAAATGGTGTAATGTCACCTGTAGAGGCATGGCAGATTGAAAGGATGTAGACCACCACTAAAGCATCAAGAAGCTTCCTGGTACAAAGAACAATCAAGCTTAATTGTTATGCATTTGCTGTGTTTGTGAAATGTTATTGATGTGATTTTTAATTATACCCAACCATTGGTATGTCAACATAGAACCAACTGGACCTTCAAAACCTTCATGAAAAGGACTTTAAAAAAAATACAGTTAAGAATGGAGCCTGACAACCTACTCAAAACCTTACAAGATCTGACCTTGCAGCAAAAAAGTCAAGGAGGTCCATAACACAACTAATAGGACCTTGGTCGTGATTAAAAAAAATCAAGAGAGACTATTTCAGTCTTACAAAATGTTAAAGAAGCTACTCGGTGCCATAGGTGGAAAAATTTGTTGGGTTGGTCATCTGTTGCAACGCACATCCTTAATGTGGCTTTACACGCCCTTGTGGTGGCCTTGGTTCTGGGAGTCACATCAGTGATCCAGTGTGTGCTCATTTGCCAGATGCAAGAGCTCTTGACCAGGCTTGAAGCTAGAGCAAGGGAGGAAGAGGTGAAGGCTCTCCTCCAAAACCCCCTGTAAAGTTACATAGGGCCTGGTGGCCTGCTCATGAGAATATGCGTGGCTTGGATGTGGCAGCAACCCACATGCCTTGAGTCGCATGTGAAAGGTCAACAATTTCTCTGTATGATACTACTGTATTTTGGGGCATCAAGAATGGGAGTGTAGCAGGCAAACTAAGTTATGCTAAGGCTTTTTTAGCCATAGTCTAGCCTTCTTAGAATTAAGCAACAAAATGGAGCAGAGCATCTTCTGTGGCAGTGGGAGATGCAAGTGTTGTGAATGGGGACTAGGTGAACAAGGCACAACAGTTTCCTTATAAGGAAACAGTGCCAGGGATTGGTGTACTATATAAGGAATGCTTGGCCCAGGACCAGACAACTGGGCAATTTGTGATAAGAAATGCTACAAAGGTAATGGCCAAACAAAGGAGCGCGTGCGTGTATCTTGGCATGCTGTGACCCTGGGAGGATGCATGGCTGCTGGGTCCCTGCTCAAACAGCAGGGAGCCAGAAACTAAGAGCCTACACACCCAGTGGAGTACCCAGAGGCCTGGTAGCCCCTAAGGTTGCTGCTGTAAAGTCTAACAAGCCACTTGCCAGGTTGTATTACAGGGAGGAAACCTGTTACATTGTCCAGAGGTTACTATTAACATTCATTTGATATCGCATTGGATGAGTTGCTAGGTCAATCCATGGAGGGCTCTGGCAAAAAAAAAAAAAACAAAACCCTATTGGTAATGGGCTTCAGTGTTAGTGTTTAAAGTGAGGGATGTTTCAGACTGTTCTGATGGCAGGGGAGGACAGGGCCTCCAGTGGTCTCCAAGCCAACCAATGCTGTGCTTCCCCTTGCCTTGCCTGCTTCATGTCTGTTTTGTCACATTGACTTGGAGCCTGTAGGCTTCATCCACAACTAGACCAGCCTTAGTTTGGCACGGGTTTCTCTAGCTTCCCCCTTCCATGCTTCCAGTGGCAATAGCGTATACTGATGGGGTGGGAGGGGGCCATGACTCCTGCATTTGGCCCGCACATGTGCCTGGTAGCTTGTACCTGTTATGGCTGGTAATTCTGGCTGCTGCTGCCTCTCCCCC